TGTGAAAACAAAGAATGTGAACATGAGAAAATTTATACTATATCTCAAAAGGATTATGACTTTGCCTGGACGGTTTGACGAGAAACAGGATGTAAAATGTTTGGCGATTATCATGATATCTATCTAAAGACTGATATACTAATTTTAGCAGATGCATTTGAGGCATTTAGAAAAGCTTCATATTTAGCATTCAAGCTTGATCCAGCAAACTATCTAACAGCTCCGGGTTTAGCATGGGATGCATGTATGAAGGTAACAAAAGTTAAGTTAGAATTGTTTAATGAACACCAGGGAGATATACATGATTTCTTTACAGCTATGAAAAGAGGTGGAATGTCTTTAGCAAGAAGATGAATAGCGAGAGCAAATATTCTGGGACTAGAAGGATATGATGGAAAAAAAGCAAAAAAATGGTTACTTTACTTAAACGCCAATAATCTATATGGTTGGGCAATGTCTCAATATCTCCCAACCGGTGGATTTAAATGGATATCTAAAGAACCTCTCGATGCTAGTTCCTCATTAGTGCAGAAAATTTTATCATTAAAAGAAAAATCAAATTGGAGATATTGCTTGGAGGTTAAGTTATCAATTCCAAAAGAATTGCATTCAAAGTTTCGGGACTTTTCAATGTGTTCAGAACGAAAGAATGTACCATACAATTGGTATAGTTCAAAGCAAAAAGAATGAGCAGGTAAACAATGTTCAGATACTGAAAAACTTATTCTAACTCTCCATGATAAAAATAACTACGTTATTCATTATAGAAATCTACAACAATGCATAAGAGAGGGGTATATTCTCGAAAAAGTATATCGAATTCTAGGATTTAATCAATCACCATGGATGGAACCATACATTGCAATGAATACGCAATGATGAGCAAAAGCAAAAAATGCATTCGAAAAAGATTTCTAGAAATTGATGAATAATTCAGTATTTGGGAAAACTATGGAAGATGTAAAAAAACGAGTGAACATAGATTTGGTTCGACAGGTAGGTGAAGAACATCGATTATGTAGACTAATTTCAGATCCAGCTTTCGTTAGTCGAAAAATTTTCTATGGGACTAATCTAGTAGCTGTACATCGAAGACAGACTAATGTAAAGTTAAATAAACCTGAATATGTAGGAGCATGTATTCTCGATCTTTCTAAATATTATATGTATGATTTCTGGTACGGATATCTTAAAAAGAAATATGGAGATCGGGTGAAACTTTTATATACTGATACAGATTCTCTAATCATAGAAATTGAGATGGAAAATATATATCAAGACATGATTGATGATTGCGATTTATTCGATTTTAGCGATTACCCTAAAGACCATTGGGTAATAAAGAATCTTCCAGAAGATCAATGGATAATTAACGAAGAAGATAAGCGTGTTTTAAAAAATACCAAAGTTATAGATAAGTGAAAGGATGAGAATGGAGGAGATCGAGCTATTGGCTATGCAGGAGTTCGTGCGAAATGCTATAGTGTTGTGTGTGAAAATTCACGAAAAAATATGATCAAGGCTAAAGGTCTTAAAAAGTCTCTCATCAAGAAAGAGCTTTCATATAAAATATTCGAGGACTGTGTTTTAGAAGGGAAAGAAGATCAACCACGAACTGCTCAATTCCTCCGAAGTTACAGACATCGAATGTATAGAATAAAGCAAACAAAGAGAAGTGTTAATCCACTAGATACGAAATTGTGGATAGCTAATGATAATATAACGACATATTTATATGGTGATTGTGAAATTCCAGAAGAATAAAAAATAAATTATATAGATCGATCACCTGGAAAATTTTACTATTTTTTTATGCAATGAAATATACAATGTCCTGCTCCTACTCCTTCATTAAAGCAACAATGATTTCTACAACATCCTTGTCTATTTAATATATATTTTTCACAATAGCTTCCTAGACCACAGTCATGAAATAATTCACAGCATTCTCTACATTTATCAAATAAAATGATATATTTGCTTTTATTGATTTTTACTAATTTTTCTATGTGACGAAATTCACTTGTTTTTTCATAATCTAAAAGTATATCATCATCTGTATCAAAGTGCACTACCGAAATTAATTTTTTAGGGATATTAATTTGATCTATAATATTTTATAAATATTTTTTTTCCGAATATCATGTTATAATGAGAGAGTGATGTCATGCGTTTTATTTCAAAGAAATGGTGAATCGGAGATTCGAGACTCTGTCTATTCTTCGAGCCTAAATCTGCGAATCAGAGATCAGCGTAGAAGTATTTTGGAGAAATGACACCCCGTGTCTTGTGAAACATACATAGCCAGTGATGGGAAAGATAGTTTATTGATTAAGATTGATAATGCGTCGTTCTATATCTGGGATAATCGTTACATGATCTATTTCGGATGTTAAATCTATTTCGGGATGTATTACAAATATATAATTAATTTCCTGGTATAACTATATAGGGTGTACAACTCGATATTCGATCATGTGTCCAAAAAATATATCGCACAAAATTACAGCATCTTTATTAATATATCAAAAAATACGTCGAATAAATATAGTATAGATAATGAAAATCTAATTGTCATATGGGGGTGATGATACTGTCAAACTATCTTCTTTATACCCATGTAAACCACGATCTGCATTTAATAATAAAGATAGGTTAATGATTAGGATTTTCTATAAAAAAGAGAAAGTTAGGTATACTCTATTATATAGAGAGCACGCATAAATAACTAGATCCATATCCGTAATAGCAACAGCGCCTCCACAAAATTATATACAGTATCTCTATCTGTAAATTGTACCAGGATATTCACCAAACGTAGTCTAAAAAATTTATCTACTCCATCTCTATCCCGAATGAGAACGTACAGGTGAAACTTTTGTCCGGTAACTTGTATCCCAATAATTCCAAACTCGTCTTTTTTGGGCTTACAACCTTTGTGTACCCAATACATGTCATCATTCATTTCTCTCCATAACTTCACCCAATCATTTTCTTCCTTATCTTTATCACAAAAAAGATGAGAACATTCAGCAAACATTAATTCGTAGATTTTTCTCCCATACTTTACCATGAACATAATATCGGGGCGCTTGCCAGTCTTCCCCCTTCGATCTTTACTTGCTATACTTTGTCGTTCCGCTCTACATAAGTAAAGTAAATAAATGCCGGTTACTCAGAAAAAGTAAATAATATCATACTTACGTGCTAACGAAGGCAAAACTCTTTATTGGTAGTTTTTCTAATGAAGCTTTCACTACAGGGACTATAATATCCGTTACATATGTCTCTTCGTTTTGAGATTTTGCGAACTTCTCCCCAAACGCTGAATTTCTCCAAATACTTCCTCTAGTTTCGATAACAGAAATAATTTTTTAGCTGTGCTAGCATAAAGTGATGCCAAAATAGAAACGTATTATACTAACATTGTATCGAGTATTCCAGATGCTATCCCTACAACATCTCCTTCTGACTCATCCCAATTTCCGTGTGAAAGCTCGATAGGCACCTCTTCATACATGGTATTATTATAATTCATCACAAATTCATTACATACATCTTTGATACGAAGAGGAGTCGTCCCCTCCATATATTTTACTGGCTCCATATAATGGTTATATTCATCTTCCGCCTCCTCAGATAAGCGTCGTATAATTTTTGAATCGATACTAATTACTTAACTTGCTTCAGGGTCTCTTCACGAAAGATTGGAAGGTTTAATTTTTTTAAGATATTTGAGTAATTTTTTAGCGTATGGGGCTGTACTGTTACCAAGATTCAACTTTAGTTTCCGCAGATTCGTTTCAATCTCCTCAGTGGATACCTGTTCATCCCGTTTCGCCAAATCAATATCTCAGAGACTACACACCCCTTCGAAAGCGTCATAAAACTAGTGCAGAAAATAAGTTATAATTAGTTAATTCTAGATAAACTTATTCCTAACATAAAATATGTGCGCACACCCATCAGAATATATCATGTTAAATCATCAACTATGCGTGACCAGCACATAGATGACAACTCACATAATATGTTTATAATTATCATCTCAAACCAAGATCAAGAAAATATCCTCATGCATCTAAGGATTAATACATTACTGATTAAACCTGTGCTTGCAGGCTCTGGATATCTACCCAACCCAGTTATCAAGATTCTGTACTATTCATCATATGGTGATAAAAATAAGATCTGAGAGTAAAATGCCAACCTTAAATGGAATTTCAATGAGTTTCTTATATTTCCCAGAATTCTCTCCATACAGATTTTTTATAGAAACAATCGCATTATATATTAATTGTCTCAAATCTTCCTTTGGAAATCATGGCTCTTCTTCTATCACTTGATTGACTATGGAAACTGCAGTGATATGTTCTAAAGGGAAATCACGGAGAAAATTATAAACTTTTTCAAATAATGCAGTATTAGTAGTCATTTTTATGTAGTGGGATTGATATAAAGAATATGTTAGTGTATAGGGAAGAATTTAGCTGGACAAAATCACTGAAAGCGACAAACAATCACAACGCAAATATACTGTCCTTTTAAAACGTTCCCTCCACTCATTTCTGGTCTCATTTAGATATGGGAATGGTAGATTTAGGGAATGTGGAACTGGAGTGATGCAAATGCATGATGAAAAAACTTTTCACAAAGAAAATATGTATGTCATGAGTTGGATAATCGGATTTGGAATTTGTGGCAACAATTAATGGATTACACGATTACATCATGCATGAAAAGTTCCATGACCTTCTAATTTATTCTATGGTATAGTATGTGATGTGTATTATGGAGTATGTGCATCTGCTGTATTACGCAATCAATTTTTGGGTTACATGATTATTACTTTGTAATGAGCTTCACTCTACATCATGCATAAAAAGTTCCATGAACTTCTAATTCATTCCGTGATATGTTGATCAAATATCTGTATATGCAATCGATTTTTGTATCAGCATTTTTTCTGGACAGATTTGTCTCGCAGTCATGTGAATTTTCCAACCAGTAAGAAGGCTAGGACCAAAAAATTTACTGAAGAATAACAGGTAGATAGTTTTCCCGTCTCACATGTATTTCTTATTGTATTAACAAGACAATCAGTTGTAACCACATAGTACAAAGTTTTTAATACATGTTATTATTATAGGTATAAAAAAAGCTAATCATTAGATGAGACATAGTCTCGAAGCTATGCTTCTTCTACGAGAATATGAATCGAGATTTCAGCAGGACTTTTATCGAAATAATCGCTGATTTTTTTTTCAGGTTCCATATACACATATTCTCTACGTTCGATATCGACTGCACGAAGATTAAAAGAAACATTTCCATACTCGTTGAAGTAGTAATTCCAGATTTTAGTATGCAATACATTGACGGATTCGCTCTTAGAAATAGAAATTCCATTCGGCGTACTTTAATACCCAAAAAATACGCCAGTAGGAATGACAAGAAATGTGAGGTGGATATTATCTTTAACCATTTTTTGTCAAATATAGAGATCTCATATTTAGAATTTCATTAATATTACAGCAAGACAAGCAAATAAACGTACCTTTTTCTTTTGGATATGAGCAATAATGGAGCATGTAGTATAGTTCTATGGCAAAGCCCATGAGTCTCTGACTCTAAGTATTTATATACCTATTGGAATTTTTAGCTCCACCATAAATCACTAATTTAGAGTATCGTATGATGTAATTTATCTAAAATTAACATATTTATTATTCACATCATTCACAGAGGTTAATATCCACGTTTGGAATTATTATCGGAGATGGTGATATTAATACTAACGTCATATTTCATTGTGCTATTGTAGTAATAATTGATGTAAAGCCTATGTCTTTGAGTCATTCAAAGAAAATATTCAAATCTGGTTTTTGTATTATACAGAAGGTTATATGATTATGTTGACCGAACATATGTGTTATTTTATTGATAGATATTACAAATAAATTTATATGACCAGTTAAAAATAATAAATAGATAGAAGCGTGGGGGTAGGGACGTTTAAAGGGAGAAATAAAGCATAAATGCCCACCAGATCCTAAGCCTTTTACATAGTAAAAATAGCGGTTCCTTTCCCTACCCCGCACTAGCTATCATCATTGAATTCATTA